TGCACACTAGGGAAATGACCTGAGGTCCCAAAAGAGCCTCCAGAAGTGGCTGGAGACAATGTTAACTGGCAGTTTGAGGGTGGGAAAGGGATCAATGCCTCTTCCCTGCAGCCAGAGTGGAAACCTCATAACCCGCAAAGCCTGCAGTTGAGTGCTTCACAGGGCCTTGCCTCAGTGTGGAGCAGGGCCTCAGACTGAAGCCAGCCTGCCTAGTGGAGCCAGAGGTAAAGAGAGTTGGGCTGCCTGTGTGTACCTGAATTCAGATGTTTGTTATTTGGTAATTAAAAATAAAATGAAACTTTAAAACTGCTCCCAAGTAGCTTCATTGTGTCCCGGAATAAAACTCAAGTCTGTTTATAGTAATATAGAAATATCCAGCATCTATAAAAATAAAATTTACAATGTCTGACAATCTATCAGAAATCACTGTGGATCCAAAAAAAAAAAAAGCATGATATGCTAACATGTTTTATTTTAATTCATTATTTATGACAGCAGAATGCAATTCAATTCATACTACACAATAGAGCACAATTTTTCATGTCTCTGGTTGTACACAAAGTAGCGTCACACTATTCGTGTTTTCATACATGTGGTTAGGGTAATGGTGTTCATCGCATTCCACCGTCTTTCCTACCCCCATGCTCTAACATATGTTAAGGAAAAACTCAGTTAGCTGAAATTGACCCAAAATTGAGAGAGTAATAGAATTAACAGTCAAGAACATTAGCAGAGTGTACATCTGAGATGAAAAATATACTGAATGAGATTCATGAAGAGGAAAAAGTACAGAAAATGGGTTTGTGAAATAGAAAAAAGCAGAAAAAACTATCCAAAATGAAACGAGTAAAGGGAAGAAAAACTTAAAGAACTGTGGTGAAGTGTGGTACCGCTGTAGCAGCAAAATATACGATGCACATATCTTTGGAGTTACCCAAGGAGAGAAAGCAGGGAGCAGAAAACACTAAGAAATAATGACCAAAAATTTTTAAAAATCTGATAAAAACCATAAATCAAATCTAAAATGCTTAATGAACCTCAAGTATAAGAAACTTGAAGAAGACTGCATCAAGGCATATCATAGTCAAATTGGTTTTTAACACTGGTTATGAGAAGAGAATCTTAGAATTAGATAGAGGGAAGAGTCTTTGTTATTACATATAAGGAACAAAGGTAGGTGTGAAAACAGATTACTCACTGGGAACAATGCAGACCATGAGACAGTAAAGCAGCATCTTTAAAATATTGAAAGAAAAGTTGTAGACACTCAGAATTCTATACCCCGAGGGAACATCATTCAGAAATGAAGGTCTAATTAGTAGTTTTAAGAACATCCACAAAAAACAAAAAGTTCTTCATCAAGCAACCAGCACTATAAGAAATGTCACATAATGTCCTTTTAGCATTTTAACACATGGGTTGACATAATAGATAAAATGATAGATGATAAGTTAAAGAATATACATTAAATTCTAAAGGAAAACTCAAATAATGCAACAAAGAATTATAACTAATAAGCCAACAAAGAATGTAAAAACAGACTTGTAAAATACCCAATCTAAGACAAAGCAGAGTAAGAAAAACGAAGCAAAGAACATATGGGGCCAAGAATCATATAACAATGTGGCAGATTAATAATTGCTTTGGGTCTGAACACCTGAGTAAAAGGAAGTGGTTTTCCAGTTTGCTTAAAAAGGCAAGATCCAGCTGTGTGCTGCCTATATTTAAAACAAAACAAAACAAAACAAACCTATTTATATATAAAGATGCTAACAGGTAAACACAGTGGAAATATTTTTACTAGGCTAAAATGTAGTAGTATCAAGATGCCCATTCTTCCCACATTAATGTATAGACTCAATACAATCCCATGCATGATCCCCAAGGGCTTGTTTTTTGTGTGTTTGTTGCTGTGAAAGAAATTGACAGGCTTATTTTAAAATCTGGGAATGCCAACAAGCTAGAAAAGCCAAAACTTCTTTGAAAAAGAAGAAAACGGAGTATTCTACCTGATTTTGAGAGCTATTACAAAGCTCTAGTAATGAAGACAGTGTAATGTTGGCATTCAGAGTGACAAGTAGATGAGAGGACCAGAATGGAAAGTCTAGAAAGACTCATGTGGATGTGCACATGGCACACTGGCTTTTGAGAAAGGTGCAGAGATAGTGAAGAAATGATGGCTGTTTCCTCAAATGTGCTGGAACAATTGAGTAGCCACATACCAAAATAATAAAGAGTATGGTTTTCAGTGTGTACCTTGCATGTGTACAAAATTAACTAAAAAGTGTTTAATAGAATTAGATGTAAAACATTCATAAAGTGGAGGTTACTTTCCAGATCTGGCCAGTCTAAGAACATGTTTAGCCCCAGAATTGTAGTTCCTTTCCACATTTCATGAATAAAACTTTGTAAAATATATCTGTGTAAGTATATGTATTCAGAATGAAATCATATTCATTTACTGGCTCAAATGTTTTTTCAAAAAATTTTTCTTCTGAAAAAATTCTCCCCTGAAATATCTCATCCAACATAGTGCCAGTATTTTTCTGTTGAAGTGCACCTGCTGTTTATAAGGGCCCTCCTGTTGTTGTGCTCTCTCCCATCAAGGGCCCTCAGTCACTGTGCTTTCTAACTCAGTGCAGACCATGAGACAGTAAAGCAGCGTCTTTAAAATACTGAAAGAAAAGTTGCTTATGGCCTGCTGGTCGGAATATCATTTCCCCTTTGCCATTCTGGTTATATGGTATTGCACAAAGTTTCGGGTTTCTACTCTGGCAGGTAGTTGGCAGAGATGACAAACTGTCTCCAGGCTCACCTGGCCCAGCAAAGTACTTTGTTCTGCGGAATAGTGGTCTTCATGACGATTTAAATTCTTGTGAAAAACTAACAGGTTTTATGTGGCGGGGTTCACGTGTCTGCTTGGGCACAGTGCTTGGTGCTCTGTTGGCTGTTTCCTTTTGCTGGGGTACCTGCTTCCTAGCTTTCCACTCTCTGTGTTCCTAGTCCTGATGTCAAAAACATTTCCAGTTCCTCAGCATGAATATATTATAAATAAATAAATATATATATATATTTATATATATATATATGATATATATGATATATATATATATATATATAAATATATATATTATAAATCCAGAAAGTGTCCATTTTTTGTTGATGTTTTGCTGTGGTATTTCAATTTGATATCATATATTTTCCATACTTCCTAATATTATAAAGCATGCTTGCCTACATTCTCCCTAAAAAAAAATAATATAAAATTTTCTTTTTTGTTTGCGGTGCCCTCTCATATCCAATCAGGCTTTTCCTTTTACTTATTGTCTGTTTCTGAAAGATGATCCCTCCTACACAGCCTTTCTTCTGCTGTGTCAGCTTAGGTCCCCTCATCTCACCAGGAGTTTTTAAATCGCCACCTAACTGAGTTCCTTGCCTCCAGTTACATTTGTTTTTTTGTTTGTTTATTTTTGCATCACTGGGGATTATATCCAGGACCATGTGCATAGTAGGCTAATACTCTGCCACTGACCTACACCTGCAAATTTTTTTATTTTATTTTGAGACAGGGCCTCTCTAAGTTATTGAGACTGGCCTGTACTTGCCATTGTCCTGCCTCAGCCTCCACAGCCACTAGGATCACAGCCATGTGCCACCTTGCCCAGCTGTCCCATTCCTTTTGACTCATCCTCAGATGCACTTCTAGAGCAACCTATCAAAGCAAAGATCTGCTCTCACCACACTCTGTTTAGATTCTGGGTCTCTTCATCTCCTATGTCAGAGGTTGACTACTATGGATAAAATAAACACAAATGGGCCTTGGCGTGGCCCAATAAAATTCATTTACAGAACCAGCTGGTCTGAGTGTTGGGTTGTTAGCTCTTGTCGTGCCTCCTCCCTCCCTCAGTGTACCTAACCATTCTCCTCTCTGGCTTCTTTCAGTTGTTTTGGACCATTCAGATTCTTCCACTTTTCTGAGCATTGCATATTCTTTCTAAATCCAGTTATTTAATTCAAGCTGTTTTTTTATAATATAGCAAAATATGTAAATATATTGTGTTAATTCTGAGATGATTTTTATGTTGTTTATTTAAGTTATTTTTGTACTTTCTTGCTTATATCTTTATAAATGTATTACCATGTATAATTTTTTTTTTAATATTTATTTTTTAATTTTCAGCAGACACAACATCTTTATTTGTATGTGGTGCTGAGGATCGAACCCAGGCCGCACGCATGGCAGGCGAGCGCGCTACCGCTTGAGCCACATCCCCAGCCCTACCATGTATAATCTTAATGAAAGGTCTTTCATTAAAGTCGTGATGTTGATACAATCTGTGTTGTATTTTGGATACCATTAATACATTATCTAAAAACCTCAGAATGAGGTTATAGGTGGGAAAGTAGCAGTTCAGTGTCTACTTTATCCACTGTGTTCAGTCTTCATTTCAGAATAGCTAGTGGGGCAGCAGTACAGAAGTTACATTGCTTCTATCTTCCACAGAGCTGTTTTTTTTTCATATTTAGTTAGAAAAGCAGAAAGCGTTTAGTTTGGGAACCAACTTGCCCGAGGTACTAGATGTCAAATTGTTATTGTATTTAAATTCTAACAGGCCATTCACATGTTTCCTTATTCAAAGAAAAACACAACTGAAGAATACATTGTTAAATGTGTGGGGTTTTCCTCATTATTAAATTTGGAGTTATTTGTGTTGTGCTGATTGGTATGGTTTTAGGATATAAAACAATTCCTTTTCCTTTAAAAAAAAAATTAAAAAGAACTTCACCCATGCTTTATCTTGTTGTTGAGAGCTGTGATTTGACAGTGAAAATGAGAGAACACATTGCTAATACTATTGTGGTGGAATTTTGTGAAACTTGGATGGGCAGTGTTTTTGTTATGAAATTCTCTAAAATCCTTAATAAATAAAAGTGCATTAATTTAAAGCTCCATATATTAAAACTGACTTGTAATGTCTTTTTTTTTGGTTGATTTTTAGCCACCAGCTGAGCAGGCCAAAGCCAGACTACAGCTTGTTCTTGAAGCTGCTGGTAAGTATTGAAAGTTAACTTGTATTAAATGAAAAAGTGACTCTTAGACTGGTAGTAAACTTTTATAAATTAAGTCAGAGAGAACATTCGTATTTTATAAATTCCCACAGATAATATGTATGGCCAGGTATTACCTGAAATATTTATTACTATGGCATAACACTAACTATAATTCTAAAAGTGAATACAGTGTTTTTTAATTGGTAAAATTGGCATTAATTTTATTAATTTCATTTTGATGAAGTCCCATTCATTTTATCTTTTTGTGATATTTATAAGAATTCTTTAACCCCAGATGATGATTTTCTTCTACATTTTCCTCTAAAAATTTCACAGTCTGTTCTTAATTTTGAATAAGGTATAACAGGTTAAGATCAGCCCACCAAATGATAGTCATTATACTTTTAGTATTCATTAAGGAAATACACATGTGCGTATTGATTCAAGTGTCTCTTCATTAGCTCTTTATATTTCCACTTAGCATGTCCATAATCTGTCAATAAGATTGGGAGCACCAGTGTGAATGGTGATCCACTAACTTCCTGAATCACTAGAAATAATTTACCATATAGATATAAGAAGTGATAAGTGTTTTAACTCTTAAGTTTCTTTAACTTTGACTCTGTCTTTTTGTCACTCAATATTATTTTAAATATCATAACTATTTTATGTTTTCCTTACTCATTTTATCTTTACGTAGAAAGCTTGATTTATTAAAATTTTGCTTGCTATTGAGTTTTTCATAGTTTGACTCTCAAATGTACAACAGGATAAAGCTAATTAATATGATCATTATTTACGTAGTATACATACATTCCTGGATGGCATTTTACATTGAAAACAAATTTCCACTTCATATTTTTAGTATTAACAGACGCTTTCTTTAAAAGAAAATGTTTACATTGCCTCACCGATAAAATATATTTTTCCATGAATATAATTATAAAGGGTTTTACTTAATACTTTTTTTTTTTTAATTTTTTATTGTTGGCTGTTCAAAACATTACATAGTTCTTGATATATCATATTTCACAATTTGATTCAAGTGGGTTATGAGCTCCCATTTTACCCCATATACAGATTGCAGAATCACATCAGTTACACATCCATTGATTTACATATTGCCATACTAGTGTCTGTTGTATTCTGCTTCCTTTCCTATCCTCTACTATCCCCCCTCCCCTCCCCTCCCCTCCCCTCTTCTCTCTCTGCCCCCTCTACTGACATTTGTTTGTCCCCCTTGTATTATTTTTCCCCTTCCCCTCACTTCCTCTTGTATGTACTTTTGTATAACTCTGAGGGTCTCCTTCCATTTCCATGCATTTTCCCTTCTCTCTCCCTTTCCCTCCCACCTCTCATCCCTGTTTAATGTTAATCTTCTTCTCATGCTCTTCGACCCTACTCTGTTCTTAGTTACTCTCCTTATATCAAAGAAGACATTTGGCATTTGTTTTTTAGGGATTGGCTAGCTTCACTTAGCATAATCTGCTCTAATGCCATCCATTTCCCTGTAAATTCTATGATTTTGTCATTTTTTAATGCAGAGTAATACTCCATTGTGTATAAATGCCACATTTTTTTTATCCATTCATC